GCATTAGTCATTTTCATTCTATTTGTGGCATGTTAAGCGGCCTCTCCGGAGCTAGATGTTATCAAACGTTGTAAAAAATTCATGAGAATTATGACTAATCAATAGGCAGTATTTGAGTCACAAGTTTACTTCTGTAAACCCCAAAATAAATTAACTGTATGGAAGCACAGGAAGGCTTGAAAAGGTAGCAGGGAAAACCTGGGGTTGATGAATTATGAATTAGTAGAATTATCAATAAGATTCATTTTCATAAAGATTTTTAACCGCCCTACCCTCCCATACCCTGGAGGAAACAAGAAAAAAAAGTGTTTCTGAAACAAAATCTAGTGTTTCCGTCCCCTCTAAGTCTGAATTCGCTAGCAGAAATAAGACAAAAATCTGTTTCCGAAAAGTAACCTAGTATTTCCGTCGACATTCTGTCTAATTACGTCAATGGAAACAAGAGAAAAACGTGTTTCCGGAACGTAACCTTGTATTTCCGTGAACTTTTAGGTCTGATTACGTCGATGTTTCCGCAACGTTACCATGTGTTTCCGCACATGTTAACATGAAGTTACACTTGCGGAAACGTTTGTTTCCGCCAACTGAAACCTGACGGAAACATGCAAAAAAGTGGTACGGTTCCGTTTCCGAAACTTATCAGTATTTCACCCATTTCAAAAGTACACAAAAGGCACTCTGCATGGTGATAAATATCCTTCTGTAAATTTGCTTTAGGTATGAGGAATACCTCAGAGGGATTATTATGAGTATTCTCTGAAAACAAAGGTAAAATATACACATTCTCACTTGCTAAAGTGGTTCCACACAGGTCACATAAAGCAGGAAAGGCAAAGATCCACTGAAACACCCTGCAAGAGGAATAAACTCCAAGTATTAGACATATACAGTATGTTTAACATCATTGTCAACCATAAATTGTTTTGGTATTTTTTAAAAGAATGGGTTCAATGATTTTGCCAAGCTATAAAATTTAATTCAGCTCAAAGTAATGTCATCCTCAATGGAAACCTGGATTTGTGCTCAAGGGATTTGGGAGATGCTGAGAACATTTTCCAAATCAAAATTATGAAAAAATGATCCTTGTAACTGCACTGTATACCATATCGAGTATCCACCACACTCAACAGGGTACCTACCTTAAACAAAACATCATAGCAATAGTAATTCAGCTCCACGTCATCTCTGGCTAAGGAACCCATCATATCTTGCCTCCACGCCTCACTAAAAACTTCATGACTGGCTGGCAAATGTGTTGACTCAAACCCAGTCTAACAAAGGTATGCTTATTCCCTAAAACATTAATTCTTACTAAGACTGCTAAAATAATCACTTTGCAAACCTCCTTTGAAGACTTTTTCTGGTTTGCGCAGCTTCTTTGTCAGTTCTTCTATCTAATCCCTCATGTAACAATCTCTAATTGAAAAATAGTAGAGGGAAATAAAATAATATCAAATAAAATAATAAATGAAGAAAGTGTATATATTTATAAAAATGTACTATAAGAAAAATTGCATTCTGAATCAAGCACATTTATAACATAGCTGGTAAATTTGTCTGATCACTTTCAACTGTGTGAGTGTGCTTCATATTTCTATTGTGCACGCTCATGACATCAGCAAACAAATCCCTCAAGAAAAAAAATTTCCATCAGGTTGAAAATATTATAAAACAATTGGTTCATACACCATCTGTGCGTTCATCAAGATATGAAGCCATTATTGAGCCATTTTTTTGTCTGATCACATTCAACTGTGTGAGCATGCTTCATACTTCTATTGTGCACGCTCATGACATCAGCAAACAAATCCCTCGAAAAAAAAAATTTCCATCAGGTTGAAAATATTATAAAACAATTGGTTTATACACCATCTATGCATTCATCGAGATATGAAGCACATGGCAAGTTTGGAGAGCACTCAAGAAGCTGGAGTTGCTCTCAGCTACACCTCGAGCAACTCTTACACATATTTCGTGCTCTCTAAACTTCCCATGTGCTTCATATCTCGATGAATGCACACTGACGTATGAACCAATTGTTATTTTGATCAATCTACATTATGATATTTCAGCTGATCTAGTATTAATAACACTTTCATTGGTCCTCTGTACTGATGATCAACTGATAGATAAATTAAGATGTATAAATGATGAATCCAGTACAAAAAAGATTCCATGTGGCTGCATGTGCCACTGTTCAGTTATTCCATGAAAGATAAAAATGTGGTATTGTATGTACAGATGTGTTTAGAGAGATGCAAACCTGTTTGTATTTCAGTCTTTCCTTCCTCCGATGAATAAACAAACCAATTAAACAAATCATCTCCCCTGTTGAGGTGAAAAAGTACAAACTCTGCCTTAAATATTACATTATATGCATTGATAACACACATTATTATTACAAGTTCAAGCAATCTCGCACCCAACTGTGAACAGTAGGGGAGAGCATTGAGCCACATGGGTGCATGATCACATACTATTTTTCACACTATTGTAAGATATGTACAGGTGCACATGTTCATGACAACTGCGGAAAATTGCTTTCAGACCTAATCTTTCTTCTCAGCTAATTAATATATTTAAATACAGGTTTAACTGGAAATGAAAAACACATTTATCAAAGGTTACATACATCTTAACTTACCAAGAAACATTAGAGCAGTTTGAATCCATGAATGTTCAAATTGGTGTTTTTCCTTACCATTCATATCTTTCAGTCCCCTAGCTCTAAACAAAATGGAACAGAATGAGAGTAACAATTTATTTCTCATTTAGTTTTGGAAAAATTTGTCGAAGTATGCAATATATCAATCAGCAAATCAAAATCAATTAGATAAAATGCAATGACTTGTTTCTAGGAGATATAAATATATTAAGAAATCATTGGGTGAGGCTGAGCATGATTTAATGAATTATCAGTGCTGAGGTCTGAGTTATCTTCTGAGGTGGAAGGCTGGGATTTGATAACTCATGATATCATGCAAAAGCCAAATTCAATAACAGTTTTGTTGAAAAATTTTTAAAACAATCTGCAAAAGTAGACTTTCTCTGAGTTTGCAAAAGTTTAAGAACTGTACATGAGCAAGGGATTTGGAAGACTTTAAACTTGACATGATAACCCAATCTACTGCAGATAACAAACGAGAACAAAGTGCAAGAAGTGTCCTTTTAAAAGATGGCTTCAAGATCCCCCCTTATCAATAAAAGTATTAAAGATGATATCACAATCCAATCTATCAAGCTTTTCCGTGTTAAAGACTCAACAATGTGTAGAAAATTCATATCAGAGTCACCTATGATTCTTTCAGTTTCAATAGTGCCACAACTGAATTCACTAGCACACAACCAACGCTGAAGCGAGGCGTCAACAACGTAACTGAACATACGAAGTCAATATCACAACAGCCCAGCAAGAATGTGCAATTAAACACACACAAAATACAGTTCTATAAAATGTTTCCTGATTGCCCAATATCAGCCTTTAAATCTTCTCACACAACAACTTTAGTGAAACTTACGAACAGTTGTTTTGTGCTTTAAGAGTGACAGTGTTAAGTGAACCTGCGATCAGCATTCCAACAGTCAACAAAATCTGAGTACGTGTAAGGCCCGCCATCTTCCCCCACTCAACAAAATATTGATCTAGATACTAAAAGAATGCGAACATAAAGAAATCGTCGGACTTATCGCGTGACTTATCGCCTGAATGTTCATAATCGTCACGTGACTACCATAGTGAAAGGAATTGTCACAAACAACCTTGGCGTAGCCTGATCAGTTCCATTGGAGTCTGTGAATGAGATCGGCAAAAATATGAATAAAAAACTGGGTAAATTGTGGAAACTGCAAATGCAAATGGCATAGTTCACCTCTGATTGATAGAGAAATAACCAAAAAAATGTCTTCTCCACGATGATTACCAAAAGCAGACCGAAAACCATTATTGCCAAATGCCATTCGCGTAAAGAGCGAGCATTGGACCCTAGGGTGCGCTTTTTCGTGGGATACTTGCAGATTTTCTACATCCTACGCTCGTCACACACACAAAAAATGATTACTCTATGGTTCTCGAGTGTTCATAATTCGTGATCGAGGCATTCGAGTGGTTAAAAACAGCAGGAAAAATTCAGACAATAACGTATAGATTAAACACCCAGCCACTGCCCCTGCGGAATGAGCCCACAGTCCTTCTTCGGTCAAAGCGGTAAATTCCCTCATACTTGTCTACAAGAAATATGTTGTTTCGTCCTAGTGCGAGGAGACTCGGAGAGGGAGTGTGAAGAGATAAAATGCCTAGAGTGAGAGCTGACTGCAATCAGTGTTTTAATGATATCAACAGTTTTTTTTCTGGTTTGTTTTGGTTTTTGTTTTGTTTTTTGTTGTTTTGTTTTGTTTTGTTGGGGGGGGGTTGCATTTTATTTCAAATCGTAGAAACCGCAGAGAACACCGAGAATACCAAGTGCGCAAGCGTACTTCACAATGAGTAGCGACCACTGAGTGGTAATGACAGTTAAGTTATTTCTGATGCCCGAAGCGGCGAGGAACCAAATCAAGTTAAAATGCTTGGGGAATTATGTTGTCAACTAGTAAGTTGTGTGCATGTTTCATCGAGTCATGATAATTATGAGATATTGTAATAATGCATTCATTTATTCGCACGGTTTACATTATGCTGTTGTTTTGTATAGTTTCTATGCAAAATTATTTTCTCTATTGACCCAACTGGATTGCCTTTGGATATATGGGACTTAACGTAAACAGATTGACGAAATCAATACCAAATTCCACTGTTTTTATATAATTCATTAGAAATTACTTTAATACATTAGCGAAGTAGTTAAACCGGTAGGAATTTAATGGGAAATTGTCAGCTAAGACTGATTTAATAACTTGATGGTTTGAGTTTAGTAACAAGAAAAACTGAAAAAAAAAATGACAAAACAGCCCAATGAATTGATTTATACTCAATCCGCTACAATCACCAAAATGTTTAATTGCATGTCTTAAAAGCTGTGCAAGTTATGGTTTAGTAAGGCCATAAACTCCGGTACTCAGGTTTTGTGTCGACGATCGAACTTGACAGGTGTCTTCCATCGAAGCTGTTGTGGTTTGACTGGAATTTGAAAAAAAGGCGTAGTAACACACACTCTCACACACACACAAAAGAAAAAGTTGAATTACTGTAGTTTATTGCAATTTTAATTCCTTCTTAACTAGATAATATTACAACCGTGTCTGTCTAACAGTTCGAATAAAATATATGATGCGATCAATCTTTCATGTTTTAAATCAAATACCAGAGAGGTATGAAGACCTCTTTGGTGGATTCAGCTAATAATATCAGCGAGTGCTTGAAAAAACAGATCCTAGGTACTAAATGGACACGAAACCAGTTTTCTCCCAAAAAAGCGAATCTATAATAAGAAGAGTCAAGCTATCATCTGCAAATCGCGTTCGTACGACAGCTTTACTACTTTTCTTCATCATCTAATGACATTGAATAGTCACCCATGGCTATTAGTGTAGCATATTGAGCTGTTCTTGGTTTGTTTTAACGTGCTTCTGTTGGTTCACCCATGTTTGACAAGTTAATGTTGTTCTCCTGGAAATCTGCTTTGTTTTTGGCTGAGTACTCTGCTTTTAAGCGGCAGGTATCCATGCCTCAGGAATCTCGATTCTACTGTATCTCTTGTTTTTATTTTCATACACTACTAACTTATGAGAAAAGAAAACTCACACCGTTAGCAGCTAAGCATAATGCTTAATGAAAAAGCAACAGTGGACTTACACATCTTTCCGTACAGATCAGGAATACTTTTTCCATTTTACCTTTATTCTGTATAACTGTTTCATTATGCTGCAGCGAAGGGGGTGTGGTCAGAGGCGGATCTAGGGGAGGAGTACAGGGGGTGCACACCTACCTCCCCCTGAGATAATCTGAGGCTTTCTTATATAACTAGTATGGTGCAAAATAATTGTAAAAAAAGTAACGATACAATAAAAAAATAAAACTGCGTGAATTATTTGCGTTGAAGTAAAACATGAGGTTACAGAATTTATGTTAAACGCAGTGAAAATGGTAAGTTAGCACTGACTTTTCGAGTATCAGCCCTTCTGTTCGTCAGAGACGTCAGTTAGGTGATTCGTTTATGGTGCACCCACTCCTACAAAAAATCCTGGATTCTCGTCTGGGAATGATTAGTTTGTTAATTAGTTTGTTAGGTTAATTACTTGCTAATGTTGATTTTCTTTTTTTAAACTCTGTGAATACATTTTTTATCCTTTAGTTTTTGTGTTAGAGAGTGACTACACATATATACTAACCCTTTGAAGTATTACTTAAGCTCAAATATTTCAACCCTCAAAGATGGCCAAGCATAGAATGTTACAGGATAAAACCGAACGTATCTGGCTTTGAAGTCATTTCTGAGTGAATGTTTCACGATGCTGGTCTGATCTGAGTTTCCTGTGAACACCTGGAATAAAGCAAACCGAAAAAAACGAACAAAGAAATTGAACAACTTCAAGTTGGTATGGTGCACCAATTCTATATACAGTTAAGTAAGGAGGCGCTGGGAGGAGGGGGAGGGGAAGTGCGGGGGCCATTTGAACAGGTCTTAACTGCTCACATCTTTACACAATTTTGTCTTCTATTGCATTGGGGCCCGGCCTTTCCAAACAGAGGTCATTTTTCCGTCACTTTTTTCACTCTTTTTTTTTTTATTATGGATGTTTTTATTACTCATCATCCGATAGCCAAAAGTAGATGGTCAAAGTGACACGATAAGTTCCTTTATCCAGCTGTAAGACGGCTGTTGTTGAGTCTTTTCCCGAATACAAACGCTGCTGACATCTAAGCTATTGTTTGCAGCGTGCACATATTATGTTACCATCATGATTTGCAAAAGTGAAATAAACAAACAACAATAAAACAAAAACAAAAGAAAACCAAATGAACCCATGACAAAGACAAGGTTAGGGACAGAAAGAGAGACGGAACGGAGACCTCCTGTCTCACAAAATCCGGAAAACAACGTCATGAGAAATGTTATAATTATATATACTAGATGGAAAAGTCATAGCAACACGTGCTCGACTAATTTCTAAATCTCTTCGACTTCTCGCACCACACGCAAAAAAAGACCCTAAGTCTTTTGAAGCATTCTATAAAAGACACATCAGATACCTTTCAGGATTTCAAGCAAACCCGCCATACTTCACAAGCTTATCATTTCCGTCGACGTCCTCTGCTGCAGTAGCCGATGAATATAAGTGTCCAAATTCAGCAACTGAGTGTATTTCTGTTTACTACTTATTTGCATTGACTTCAAACACTTTGTTAATTGCAAAAAATGTTAATTTCAGTTCTCTCCATACCTTTTCGAAATTCGTTTCCCTGTAAGTGCTCCAAGTTATACCGTCTGTAGACAATCGTAGTTTGTAGCTGGTGGTCCATTCAGTCAAACGCAGTACTCCTTGTGTGGCCACACCACAAACAGAACGCACTTCGTCCATATCAACTTGAAGATATTCTGTTCCATCAGATTTATTCTTCGGACACCACCCTCCTTTTCCCCTGGTTTCGTTCAGTCGGCCGTAGTATGGATACTGATAACTATCGTAAAAACTGCTCGCTGTCATTTTGACATCTGGAATTGTATTTTTGTCTGTCACACCAACAGGCCCACATTCTAAATAGGAGTAAATGAAATAAGCGGTTAGGCTCATCTTTACCTTCTTTACCAGTGTTTATTGCTTTCCTTCCCTATCTAAAACAATAGGAAATAACTAATGCAGACTTTGGTTGCGGATCATGCTGAGGTGGTGGAAAAGGATAAGAATAGTAATCGTTACCATCAAGCAGCGTAAAATCCATGAACGCCAGGTGACCCATGCCATTTCTTTACGTTACCTTAGCGCGCTTAAATAAGTAGTCTAATAACTTCTCTCTACCAAATATGTATCACAATGCTGAGAAACGTTTGTATGTGAATTTTAGACTTACATTCTCATCAGAGAACTAGGAAGTGAATGTCCTCTCTCTCTCCTCTCTAGTGAATTACTATTACTTAACCTTAGCAAGTTCTACCATCTCGTTGTGGACCTTTCTCCATGTAATATCCGTCCTTGTCGATACCTTTGCAGGTGTTTCTTCCGTCTCCAATAAATCCCGGTTTGCATGTACAGTTGTATGAGCCCTCAGTGTTGTCACAAATGGCATTTACATGACAACCATGTAGGCCTTCCTTACATTCGTTGTCATCTATAGATAAGCATGCCGTTCTTTCATCTTATTTGTTCAGTTTGAACTTTAACAGAAACTTTTTCAACAAATTAAAAACCCTTTTCACAATATTTTCCTGTCTGTGACTCAAAAAAAACATTGGGCGAAGGCGAGGCAAAGGGGGTCGTAAAGGATTCTAATGGAGATGATAATGATAATGAAAATGACAATAAAAGCCTTACCTTTGCAGCTGTTTTGTCCGTCTCCAATAAATCCCGGTTTGCATGTACAGTTGTAGGATCCCCTAGTGTTGCTACAAATGGCATTGACATGGCAACCATGCAAGCCTTCCTTACATTCGTTGATATCTATGGATAAGCATATGTTATTTTAATGTCGTTATTTCATCTACTTGTTCCGCATGAACTTTAGCAGAAACTTTTTCAACGAAAGAAAAACCTTTTTCGCAATATTTTCCTGTCCAACCAGATGAGTTACATGCGCACGAGTAGTTGGTTTCACGGTTGACACACTTTGCATCGTTTTGGCACTGGTGCTTGACACAATAGTCTGCAACTAGTTAAAAAGAAAACTGATTAAGAGAAGGCCTTTCATTGGCACGAAGGCAAATAGCCATGGAATGTTTGCTGTACTAACCTTTTGTCTTCATGTCGCAGCGAGCTAAATTAGAGTTCCCAGATCTTGTAGAATCCAGCCAATAATTAGCGTTAACTGCTTGTTCTCCTTCACTCGCCTTGATTTCCTTGCACGATTCAGCAGGCAGCTCACGGATTGATCCTAGGGGAACTAAAATGGTAATGGATCACTTTAGCTGAATAAAAGTTAGAAACATCAGTAGCTAATAACGCAAAATCCATAAACGTAAGCACACCCTACTATTTTATATTTGCAAGTTCTATTACCTCGTTTTGGACCTTTCGCCATGTAATATCTGTACTCGTCCTTGACAAAGTCGTCTGGTCTGGCCTCTTTAGTTCGGTTGTTTAACTCACATATTGCAATGAACATGACGACATTAAAGCTTTGACATCTGTCATCAGCGAGACAAATGTCTCTGCATTCCGGCGTACCTGGTGTAGTCTTGAACGTCTTATAGGTATGGCCCTGAAGCATCATTTGATAAATGGAGTATATTTCGTGACATCGCTGACTGGTAATGCCACGGAACACGAGAGAAATGAAAAACAGCGCAGTAAAAAACGAAGCTTGTCGACCAGCCATATGAAGAATAACAGATCTATGACACCTGCGAAAATATGGTGAGTATTTTCATTGAAAAAGAATTAATTAAAAGGGCGGGTTATTGGACAAGTCCGAGGGAGTATGGGAAAGCTGATGAAATCCTAAAAAATTAATGAGCAAGAAAAATATTGAAAATACTTGGGAAATACATAGAGAATATTACATGGGCTCGCGTAAATATGGAATTTCTCTTCGAGCGTTTAACTCGATAGCAACCATGTATTATTTTGTTTATCATATAAACACAATGAATGAAATATGAGTCGACAAACCCCGAATGACAATCGCAGAGTGCGTTGGCGCTAACTCCTAAGATGGAAAAATGCGTTGAATCATGATAACAAAAACAACAATGGTTGTAATTTTCTTTAAGTATATTGGTTTTCTTCCCCTTCTAGGAAAGTTTGAACCTCATTGCCTGTCAGCGATACGGATTTTTTAAAGTGTTTTAGCCGCCCTAATTCGCGAAAGCTCCGATAAACAACTTGTATTGAGAATCGTGAAGACTTTGCCATTCATTCATCAACCTGACCGAGTGGCGCCAAAGGCAAGTGACGTTCAGTAGCTGATTGGCTATATCAACACACGTGAAAAAATACAATATTTTTTCACGTGTGTTGTTACAGCTTTTCTCAGGGCCAGAAATCCCTGTATAACACCGCAGTTTATGTGATAAAATATCATATAAAGCAAGTTCGTCGAGGCAGACTTGCAGTTTTGACGTTCCATTTGAAATTAATGACAAAAGGGAAATAATCATCCACTCCAATGTTTCTGAGGAGAAAATTCCTCCATGGGTAAGTAAAAAAAACGAAACGTTGTCGTTTTAGATTCCGTCTCTCCCCTCTCTATTCTTAAAGTCTTTTTTCACAAGCTGCTAGTTTACGAGAAAAGAGACTGATATGGCAATTTAATTTTCCTTCAATTTTTTACAGCTTGCACTTGATATAAAGAAGATGGGATGATAAATCAAACAGTCTTGGTTCAAAAGCTGAAAGGTTTTTACATGAAGACGTATCTACGAGGAAAGGAAAAATGTGGAGTAGTTTTCACTGGACTTCCCTTTTGACATCAGGCGAAACACCCGTTTGATCTATTTAAAATTATTTTATATTTTGAAACGTGAAAAAACTACCTAACTAGGAAACTTTACAAATAAGGAACATTCGATGATACTTGTGCTTAGTTTTCGGCAATTAACTTTGGTCGTAGGCTAGCTTATTGTAATTTCAGAGCTTATTCTGCATTCTGTAGGATAAAGAGGGTGATGAAATGCCACAATGGAGGCGTACGTCTTCACCTAACTTTTCCTGACATAATTCATTTTCGCCTTTTCTAAAATGGCAAAATTTAAAACTAGATATTAATAAACTTATACACATACTTGGAAAGCAATACCCTTTGTTTCTTATACTGACTCTGATGAGTCTTCTTCTGAGGCGTGAAGCTCTTCCGCAGGTTACCACAGTCAACTGAAGCTGAAATGATGTCTAGAGGGAACTATAAAGTTTACAACGCTTTAGCCCCTATATCAATGAAATGATATGATATACAGTTTTTAACTTTAATTCAAAGATTTCCAACATATGAAATACCGTTCAGATTCAGATAAATATGAACAGTGTATTTCTCGCACTTGCGCATCAAACGACCACTGAGAAGGATGAGAAAATTATCTGTGCCAGGACTAAATGAGCTCATTTTAATCTTTTTTCTCGATTGAATTAACTGTGTACTCTTTCATTGACAACTACACTAGGTAAACATAACAGTAAAGTAATCTTAAACTTATAGGGATAAAAACCAAGTTATTTAATCCTCTTGCATGTTTTTTAAAGCACAGCTCTTGAGACCCCTTTGCGATAATCAAGATATCCAATATACCCGTTGGAACACTTCACTTTATAACGCTTTTAAACAATTAGCAGATAAATGAATCTGGATATGCCGTTTGTAACCTTGCTCGGTTTTGAGTCGCAGACATAAAAGTTTAAAATTAAGGATTTTTGAAAAAGCTGTACTGTTGCTTTGTATAACTCTATATATCTGCAAAAATATTCGCAACACGCTGATAAATAGGTTGGACATAGTATCATCAAAGTGTTGTCGAGTTTAAATATCGAAACAAATTTGAACCTTTATAGTGCAGCCAAATAAACAAATTGTAGGCTGGAAAGAAACAAATCAGGCCAGATTCTTCGTAGTTATATCTATGAGGGTGCGACTGACGATTCAAATGTTGGCCATCTGATTTTTCGGCAAACGATTAATATCACTCCGTTACGGTCGAGAGAAATGCTGAAAATATATTTGAACTATTTCTTAAAAAAATTTATTAAATGTCATAGTTCTAAAACACATTTACTCACCAGCTTTTACCTTTAGAGGCAAGCGACAAGGCTAATTCCAGATTTCCTAATTTCCACGAGGCGGTAAAGTTTCAGGTCAAATGACTCTATCTCGAACTTCGTGTCGAGGTATTCGCTCAGGTATCTGTTAAATTCTGAAATAGAACGGTGTTCTCCGATTTTAATTCTCTCCCTCTATCTTTCAATTGGCTTTCCTTTCCCAGCTCGTTATGAAAAAAATTATGCTTTTCAGGAGAGCCATCACTCACACAATGAATGAAGAAATTCAGGATCTTAGACATAGTCAGCTGTCTGTCAAATCATCCCACGCGCACGAAAGGAAGCCAGTAACGGTTCGCGGAATATGACTCTGCGGGAACTGAGCCAAATGTCATTGTTTTCATTATTAGTGTAGATAACCTTTCAAACACATAAACCACAAGACAAGAAGTCTACGATTTTGAAACATTGACGCATCGCTAACCTCCAAATTTTCATTTTCTGTTTTCTTTTTTTTTTGTGATATTTGTTTTAAGTGCAGTCGGAATTGATACTGTATTGAGGTTCGGTGTGTTGAGATGAAGCCACATAGAACCTGATGCAGCCTACTTTGTAATCTAGTCGTTCCATGTTGCATTGGCGTGTTTAGCGGGTTCTTAAGGGTAAAGTGTTTTAGAAGTCATTTCACTTAGTTAGGTAGCCGGATATTGTTTAATCTCCACAATAAACCTCATTTATTTTTCATGATTTAAGAGTGGTATTTCAGACAAAGGTCCGGACTTATTATCTTGGTCTCAGTTTTCTTATAAAAATAACTTTTGGGAAACAATTGTCTTTCGAAAGTTCCTGTTATTGCGCATCTTAAAACACCTGCCACATTCAGTGGATCTTAATGGGTGATGGCTTGTATGGTTAATGAATAAAATTTTGACCATTTTACAGCAAATGTAAACTTCTTTCCGTTATGCTTATCAGACATGTCAAAATTTAATTTCAGTTAATTTAAAAGGTTAAAATTAACTTCCAGCAACGTTGTAAAACACTTTTGCTCGTTCACTTTCATTATCAGAGGCAATATTTTTTCGACATGGTTTTCGATATTCGTGTAGATAACCTTCAACCACATTAGCCACAAAACAAAGCCATATCAGGTTATGATTCTTAAACATTGACTCATCGTAGATCTACAAATTTATAGTTTCTTTTTTTATTTCTTGTTTGCAATGTGTACGTCTACCTGCTAAAATCTTTACCGTTTTAGGGCTCACGGTTAACCCCATTGAGCTCTCTCCACTGAACACAATTTTGGCATATCAAGGAAGTGATACTTGAAACCGAATGCAGGTTACACCGTTGTTTCGTAGTCAGCATTAGTCATTTTCATTCTATTTGTGGCATGTTAAGTGGCCTCTCTGGAGCTAGATGTTATCAAACGTTATAAAAGATTCATGAGAATTATGACTAATCAATAGGCAGTATTTGAGTCGCATGTTTACTTCTGTAAACCCAACATAAATCAACTGTATGAAAGCACGGGAAGGATTTGAAAGGGTAGCAGGGGAAGGCTGGGGTTGATGAATCATGAATTAGTAGAATTATCAATAGGATTCATTTTCATAAAGATTTTTAACTCCCCTACTCAGTATGCTTAACCTTAATAAACACAAGCCATGGAAATTTGTGCAAAGTTTAATAATCAATCACTAGCTTGATACAAGAAAAATAAAATTACATAAAGAGAAAAATGGGTGGCTATTTTACACTTCTAGACAATTCCACACTTCATCTCTGCGTCTAAAATTGAACGGAACGTCGCGAACCTGTTCTAATGAAATGATACAATTTAGGAACCAATTTAATTTTTTGCACTGAGACGCCGTTTACACAATGCTTTCAAAACATGTAACACTTTACTTGCCTCTTGTCAGGTTTATTGAGAACGTTAAATGCATCCTCTCCTTCCATCTCAGTCAAGTGACGGTTAATCGCACAAATTAACAAATAAAGCGATCGCAAGTGGACAGATAACGCTCTCCATTTTGCTTGGCCACTGCACAAACGAACTTGCCCAACCAAAAGTTTAACGTATTCGGCCACATATGCTCTTGTGGAATGGTCAGATCTTGAACATCTTCGCATTTCAGATCGACCACTCTACCAACTTCTAACATTGTACATGTATTTTCCGCCGCTGCTACCATTTCTCGAAGACTTTTCTATTCCATTTAGTGTTGTATTGTATTGCTTTCGGAAGGGCTTCCGACAGTAGACTGGTCTCTTCTTCTTTACTCTTTAAATTTTGAGAACGAAACCGACCAGCCATTTTTTCTATTACAAAAGCTATGTGAAAATGAATTGCTATGATTCAATGCTGAATATTTCCAAACTCCTATGGGACAACTGCACGCCTAAGTGGCTAACATGACAAACGCAATCTACTATCGCGGTTTCATTCCACAAGTCAAATAAAATATTCGCGTCCGACCTTTATGGGCTTTAGAGGGCTCCCTCTCATATTTCATCAATTATTTTTAATTTGGACACAAAGCTTGGCGCATGTTGCGATTTTTTGTCATTGAAATTCAATCGATTTGCCGTCATTTAACAGTATTGTTTTGGTGTTTACTTTTAATTTTTCGTCTTCCTTCTACTACTCCACTTCTGTTCGAATAGATCGAGGTTATTCTAGAAAAGTCGAGCTAATTTTTGGCCTCGTTTTTTCGAAGAGGTGCACTCTCTCAAAACAATTAAAGAGATTGTAGCGAGGAATTTGCTACGAAAAGAAACGTGACACAAGACATTGACGAAATATGACCTGCAACAAACTGGATAACCGTGTATTTAGTTAACTGAGAGTCAGTGGTTACCCTCTTCAGTCGAGGCTAAGAGTGCCCTCTCTCGTTCATTTACAGTCTTCAACCTATGTTCATAGTTATTGAACTTCGTTTCGATTCGAATGAATCTAGCAGAGTAAAGAAGCAAACATAAAATAGACAGAGCTGAGTCGGAGTTCACCGGCAAAGAAAGATCTCGAAAACTTAACGATGGAAGCTGACCAAAAGCAACTATTTAGTATGTTTTAAAGTATACCGGCGCCTCTGTCACGGCTAAACGTGACATCAATTTCCTCGTAACTCGTGCTGTTGTTCTGCTTCCTTCCTTCTTTTTTTTAAAGTGCGTCCCTTTATATATTGACTTATGTGATAGAGGTATGTTATACTATACTCGAACGTTATTTGGAATAAGACATCAGGATAAAAAAAAAAAAAGAGACACTTCCTTTCTTGTATTTTATTCATCTAAAATCTTCTTTTTCTATTACGTCAGATGCTAAGGTTAATTCGACTGCGTTTTCTTTTAAATTTAGCTTGTAGGATTTTTAGCAATGTGCTTCATGCAACAAAGTTATTCCAGGGAAAGATCTTAATAGAAGATAAACGTACTTTTATATAACGGCCATAATATTTTGTTTGGCTTCGACAGTGGGGCTCAGAGACAGGAATACAACCTACTAGATTGCTTAGTTTGTGTAGTTTATGTATTGATTGACAAAGCTAAGTCCTTTGAGAAGATAATACGTGTCTGTAAACAGTTAATCAATAGCCCATTCCTTACGAAATATTATAAAATGTTCAGAGAAATGCGCGCGCCGTGATTGGTCAGAACGAATTCATTATTTAAGAATTTGTTCATGCTTAGCGTGCGTATATCGAGTTATGGATGCACGCGGGAAGTTTCAAGAGCACGTAAAATGCGTAAGAGTAGCTCGAAGCGCAGCCGAGAGCAACTCTAGCTTTACTGTAGTTTATTGCAAATTTTATTCCTTTTGAACTAGATAAGATTACAACTGTCTGTTTAACAGTTCAAATTCAGCTATTAATATCAGTGAGTGCTTGAAAATACAGATCCTAAGTACTAAATGCACACGAAACCTTTTTTCCCCGGATAAAGCGAATCTATCAATTGAAGAGTCAAACTATCATCTGTAAATAGCCTCCCTAAGACAGCATTACTGCTTTTCTTCATCATGTAAAGAGGTTGAATAGTCACCCATGGCTATTAGTGTGGCATATTGAGCTGCTCTTGGTTTGTTTTAGCGAGCTTCTGTCGGTTCATTCATGTTTGACAAGTTGATGTTGTTCTCCTACAGATCTGCTTTGTTTTTAGCTGAGTACTCTGCTTTTAAGTTGTAGGTATCCATGCCTCAAGAATCTTGATTCGACAATATCACTTGATTTTATTTTCATAAACCATTAACCCATCAAAAAAGAAAACTCACACCGATAGCAGCTCACCATAACACTTAATGAAAAAGCGACAGTGGACTTACTAATCTTTCAGTACAGATCTGGAATACGTTTTCCATTTTACCTTTATTCTGTTTAACTGTCTTATTGTGCTGCAGCAAAAGGGGTGTAGTCAGGGGCGGATCTAAGGGAGGGGTGCACACCCACCTCCCCCTAAGATAACCTGCGGCTTTCTTATATAACTAGTATTATGGAAAATAATAAAATGAAAAACAAAACTTTGTGAACTATCAGACCCTCTGTTCGTCAGAGGACAAGTCAGTTAGGTGATTCCTTTGTGGTGCACCCACTCCTTCGAAACATCCTGGATCCGCCCCTGGGAATGATTAGTTTGTTAATAAGTTTATTAGTTTACTTGCAAATGTTTGTTTTCCTACTGTAAGACTGTATGTATACTTTCTCTCCTTCTGTTTTTATGTTGATGCACGACTACTCACATACGAACTCTCTACCGTATTACTTAAGCACAAATATCTCAACCCTCAAACATGGTCGACGAACATATGTTACAGGATAAAACCGAACGTATCTGGCTTTGAAGTCATTTCTAAGTGTATGATTCACGATACTGGTCTGGTTTGAGTTTCCTGTGAACACCTGGAATAAAGCAAACCAAAAACAAAAACAAACAATTGAACAACTTGGTATAGGGCACCAATTCTATATACAGTTAAGTATGGAGGTGCTGGGAGGAGGGGGAGGTGCAGGGAGCATTTTAACAGGTCTTAACTGCTTACGTCTTTCACGCAACTTTGTTTTTTATTGCAATGCAGCCCGGCCTTTCCAAACGGAGTTCATTTTTGCCTTTTTTTTTCCTTTGTCTATTTGTTTTATGGATTGTTTATTATTTATCCTTCGGTAGCCAGAAGTAGATGGTCAAGGTTACAGGCTTTTTCTATTTATTCAGCTGCAAGACGGCTGTTGTTGAGTCTTTTTCCGAATACAAATGTTGCTAATTTTTAAGCTATTAATTGCAACGTGTACATATCATGTCACCATCATAATTTGCGAAAGCAAGATAAAAAAATCAAATCAGATCAAATGAACCCATGACAAACACAAGGTTAAGGACAGAAAGAGAGACGGAACGGAGACTTCCTGTCTCACGAAATCCGGAAAACAACGGATCATTAACTAAAACATGAAAAATGTCTTAATTACTACATCCTGGATGGAAAAGTCTAAGCAGCACATTGCTCGACAAATTTATAAATTTCTTCGACCTCACGCACTACAAGCAAGAATAGATAAAGTACTTCTTCCTAAATCTTTTGAAGCATTCTATAAAAGACACATCTGTTACTTTTCAGAATTTTTACGCAAACCCGTTGTACTGACACAAGCTTAGATCTTCGACGACGTTCTATGCTGCAGTAGCCAATGGAGATAAGTGTCCATATTCACCATTTAAGTGTATTTATGTTTGCTAACCATTTGCATTGACCTCAAATTCTTTGTTTATCACTGAAAACGTTAATTTCAGTTCTCTCCATACCTTTTCAATATTCGTTTCCTTGTATATGTTCCAAGTTATACTGTTTGTAGATAATTGTAGTTTGTAGCTGGTGGTCCATTCAGGATACCTTTGTAGTCCTTGTGTGGCCACACCGCAAAGAGAACGCACTTCGCCCATATCAACTTGAATATATTTTTTTTCACCGAATCTTCTCTCTGGACACCACCCTCCGTCTCCCCTGGTTCCGCGCAGTCTGCCGTAGTATGGAAATGAACTAGTATCGAGAAAATCGCTCGCTGTCATTCTGGCATCTGGAATTGTATCAATGTCCGTCACACCAACAGGCCCACATCCTAAATAAGAGTAAATGAAATAAAGAGTAAGACTTATCTTTAGCTGCGTTTATTATTTTTCTTCTCTATCCAGAACAACATGAAATGACGAGTAAAAAGTTTGGCTGCCGATCATGCTGAGATGGTTGAAAAGGATAAGAGTACTAAACGTTACTTTAAACAATTTTTAAAAAAATTGAAATCTTTTTCTCGTACATCATATTTAAGCTATCTCTGACTCGTACAAAAAACTTTGGCGAAGGCGAGGGGAATGGGGGCCGTAAAGGATTCTAATGGAGATGATAATGATAATGAAAATGACGATGACAATAACAACTTTACCTTTGCAGGTGTTTCTTCCGTCTCCAATAAATCCCGGTTTGCATGTACAGTTGTATGAGCCCTCAGTGTTGTTACAAATGGCATTTACATGACAGCCATGCAGGCCTTCCTTACATTCATTGATATCTATGGATAAGTATATGTTAGATTAATGTAGTTCCTTCATCTATTTTGTTCAGTATGAAATTTGGCAGAAACTTTTTCAACAAAAGAAAAACCTTTTTCAAAATGTTTTCCTATCTGTGACTCAAACAAAACTTTAAACGAAGGTGAAGAAAAGGAGGCTGTAAAGGATTCTAATGGAGATGATAATGATAATGAAAATGACAATGATAATAACAACCTTACCTTTGCAGCTGTTTCTTCCGTCTCCAATAAATGCCGCTATGCATGTACAGTTGTAGGAACCCTCAGTGTTGTTACAAATGGCATTTACATGACAACCATGCAGGCCTTCCTTACACTCGTTGATATCTATGGATAAGCATATATTAGTGTAATGTCTTTCCCTCATCGAATTTGTTCAGCATGAAGTTTAGCAGAAACTTTTTCAACAAAATAAGAACCTTTTTCACAATATTTTCCTGTCCAACCAGATGAGTTACACGCGCACGAGTAGTTGGTTTCACGGTTCACACAATTTGCATCGTTTCGGCATTGGTGCTTGACACAATAGTCTGCAACTAGTTAAAAAGAAAACTGATTAAGAGAAGGCCTTTCATTAGCACTAAGGCAAATAGGCATGAGATATTTTTTGTTCTAACCTTTTGTCCTCATGTCGCAACGAGCTAAAATAGAGTTTCCAGATCTTGTAGAATCCAGCCAATAATTACCGCTAACTGCTTGTCCTCCTTCACTCGCCTTGATTTCCTTGCACGATTCAGCAGGCAGCTCACGGATTGATCCCAAGGGAACTGAAATGGAAATATTACGCTTATATTGGATAAAAGTTAGAAACATCGGTAGCCAGTAACGCAAAATCCATAAACGTAAGAACACCCTACTAATTTATATTTGCAGGTTCAATTACCTCGTTTTGGACCTTTCGCCATGTAATATCTGTACTCGTCCTTGACAAAGTCCTCTGGTCTGGCTTCTTTAGTCCGGTTATTTAACTCACATATTGCGATGAACATGACGAAATTAAAGCTTTGACATTTGTCATCAGCGAGACAAATGTCTCTGCATTCCGGCGTGCCTGGTGTAGTCTTAAACGTCTTATAGGTATGGCCCTTAAGCATCATTTGATAAATGGAGTATATTCCGTGGCATTGCTGACTGGCAATGTCACGGAACACGAGAGAAATGAAAAACAGCGCGGTAGAAAATGAAGCCTGTCGACCAGCCATATGAAGCACATCAGATCTGTGATACCTGCGAAGAAGAAGGCGAGTGTTTTCATGGTAAAAGTGTTTGATTTAAGTGGGAGGGGTATTTGAAAATCTAAAAGGAGGATGGCAGGGCTGGTGAAGTCCAAGTGATAAACAAATATCTAAATAAAAACGTACCTAGTAATCTTGCGATTAAGCCAGGACAGACTTACAGCATCAAAATTTCACAAAAAAAGAAAGAAAGAAAAACCTGTTTAATATTATTTTGGAGAAAATTCCCATTTGGGTAATTGAAGAAAAATGAATTTTTTTTGCTTTAAAATCCGCCTTTCCACCCTCTCTTTTTGTAGTCTTTCTTGCTGACGATCAGTTTGCGGGAAAGGATGGGGAACTGTGTAAAAAAATGCATTTTTGACTGCTTGTAGATGATTTTAAGAAAGAAAATTGATGAATCAAACAATCTTTCTCTCGATGAAAGAATATCCTCGCAACACACAGTTATAGTAGTTCATTTTAAAGTCCTTCTTTACATCGTCAGATTCATCTCTTTAGCGATCCGTCCAGTTTCATCATTAAAAATTTCGTGGACAATAAAATGCTACTTTTAGTTTTCATTTGAAAAGAGTTATTTTATAACAACCTACGAAAACATGATACACATACCTAGTTAGAAGTACACGTTGTTTCTTTAACTGTCTCCGTTTAGTCTTTTTTTAGGGTGTGAAGCATTATTGCCAATAGTAGGTTGCCAACGGCCAACTAAAACTGACAGGATGTTAAGAGGAAGTAATATTCTCTTGGAGGGAGTTGTTGAGTTGTCACGAACAACCACTAAGCAGATAATTAGCCACTGTCTTTCCTCGAAGGGAAATACCGTTCTCTGAACAATAGGATGTTATTGAGAAAAGTTAATACATATTTTTCAAACTAGATTTAACTGCGTTTTACGGCCAAACAAAACTGAAAGGATGTTTAGAGGCCGGAGTTAGATAACATCACGGCAACTTCTTAGCAGATAATTAACTACTGTCTTTCCTCGCAGGTGCATCTTTGTTGGATCAATGGAGTGCTATGGGAAGCAGTTCATCATTTTTTAAAGGGGGTGTTGTTGTGTTTTACGGCCAACTGGAGCTGAAATGATGTTTAGAGGAAATGTAATAACACTGAGGCCAAACTATTGACAGATAGTCAGTCATTTTCTTTCTTTACAGAGGTGCATCTCTGTTGAATCAGTGGGATGCCTTTGGAAACAATTAATATTTTATTCAAGCAAGGCGTTGTTCTGTTTTACGGCTAAATGGGGCTGAAATGATGTTTAGAGGGAATGAAATAACATGACGGACAAACTCTCGGTAAATAATTAGCCACCTCTTTTCTTTACAGGGTGCATCTTTGTTGCATCATTCGGATGTTACTAGAAACAGTTCATATCTTCTTTAAACTAAGCATTGTTGTGTTTTACCGCCAACTGTTGCTAATTGTACTACACTACGAACAACCAATCAACAGGTAATTAGCCATTGTCTTTCCTAACAGGGGTGCATCTTTGTTGGATGAGTGGGATGTTATAGGAAACAGTTAATGTTGTTTTGTTTTACGGCTAAATGGTGCTGAATTGATGTTTAGCGGGGATGAAATAACATCACGTAACAAACTCTGGGTAAATAATTAGCCACAGTTTTTCTCTACAGGGTGTATCTTTGTTGGATCAGTGGAAACAGTTAATATGTTTTACAAACTAGGCGGTGTTGTGTTTTAAGGCTAAATTGATGTTTAGAGGAATTGAAATAACATCACGAACAGACTCTGGGTAAATAATTAGCCACCGTTTTTCTCTACAGGGGTGCATCTTTGTTGGATCTGTGGAAACAGTAAATATCTTTTTCAAACTAGGTGTTGTTTTGTATTAAGGCTAAATTATTGTTTAGAGGGACCGAAATAACATCACGGAAAAACCCTGGGGAAATAATAAGCCACCGTTCTTCTTTACAGGGGTGCATCTTTGTTGGATCTGTGGAAACAGTTAATATCTTTTTCAAACTAGGCGTTGTTTTGTTTTGCGGCCAACTGAAGCTGAAATGATGTTTAGAGGGAATGAAAAAACATCACGGACAAACCTTTGATGAATAGTTAGCCACTGGGATGCAAATATCTTTGAAGCAGGGAGATGCTATGGAGAACGATTAAATTTTTTCATAACCTTTTTACACCCTTTGATCAGTATCCAAATTCTCCAAATTATTCTCTATACTTTTCCATGGATACTGACGAGGAGAACTTATTTAACAATCAAAGCTTGTTAGGTTGGTAAATATTTCCTTTATTCCCATGATATTAATGAATGATTCAGCAGTATTACTGTAAGGAGAAATTAAATGCTGGTCACACTTAGGGTGTAAAGAGATAAGGTAGACACCGTTGTGTTTGACTTGATGATCAGGATGCTAGCACGGGGAATCTAGATCCAGGTCCCTGACCAATTCATTTCTCGCGTTTTTTATATCATGCTTGAACTAAAAAGGAGAAGATAGGTTTAAGCGTCACCATATATTAACCTTGTTGTGAGCTTTTCTTTTCGTGAAATAACCTGTCTGTTTTGTTCTACATTAACCACAGCTGGGTAGACATTAGCTATTAAGGCTGACTCAGTCCTGTTATCCCGGGATATTGAACTAAAGTTTTTTAATCTTCTTGTTTCTATATTACAAAACAGCTCTAGGACTCCGTAGTGATTATCATTGTTTGCTTTAACCGCGTGAAGTCAGCTTTGGTATTGGAACATAAACGTTTAGAAGTTTGCGAAAATAAAACATGTAGAGTAAAATAATGAAAGAAACTTCTTTGGTTAAAAAACCAGAGCAAGCTCACCTTTGATACAAGAGGTTCAGCGCTCTATAACTATAAGAAAACAAACAAAAAAATTAAACAAAAAACAAACGAAAAAACAAAACAAAGCAAAAAAAATTGTTAGCTGTTGAAGAGGGCTCCACACTGTTTAAAATTTTTAAAAGTGGTTGAAAAATAAACTTTTATATGTAACTTGTAGCTTACCTATAGAAATGTAGATGGTCATTATACCACTTTTCAGGAGCAGGCACTAATAGCTAGATTTAAGAGTGATTGCATAATTGTACTGTTACTCCCGTAACTATGGAAAGCCTGAATAAATAATTGTAATACATCTATAATTGGCCCTCAAGCATCTTCCAATACCACCATAGTACATGATAAAAATAACCCAATACAGCTTACGATGTAGTTCAGTAATCTGTAACAATTACTTTCTTTTTATATCTGCGTGTTTTATGGCTTCTTGACTGGTAAATATTTTTCAAAGTCGTTTCAACTGTTTTACAAGGGTGGATGCGCGTTTAGATGTTTTCTTAGGCAAATCTCGTCAATTTTCCACTATTTGACAATATCATAGTGGTGTGTTTCTTTTTTCATTTTCTATCTCTCTTGTACGGCTTCACCTCTAGAAAACTCGGTAGACTTTGAACTCGACATGTCATACCATGTCGACTAAATAATTAAATAGCACCAAGGAAAAACTCTCGACAGGTAGTTTTTTTTCTTTACAGGGGTGAATCTTTGTTTGATCAGTGGGATACCACTGGAAACAGTTGATATTTTATTCAAGCGAGGCTTTGTTTTGTTTTACGGCTAAATTGAGCTGGATTGATGTGTAGAGGGAATGAAATGACATCACGAACAAACTCTCAATTAATAATTAGCCACTCTCTTTATTTACGGGAGTGGATCTTTGCTGGATCATTCAGATGCTGTTGGAAACAGTTCACATCTTCTTTCAAAGTAGGCATTGTTGTGTTTTACGGCAAACTGGAGCTACATAGATGCTAATGAGGTATTATATTACGCCAGGGGTGTATCTTTGTTGGATGAATAGGATGTTTTTGGAAACAATTAATTTTTTTTTAAAGTAGTTGTTTTGTTTTACGGCTAAATGGAGCTGAATTGATGTTTAAAGGGAATGAAATAACATCACGCAAAAACTTTGGGTAAATAATAAGCCACCGTTTTTCTTTACAGGGGTGCATCTTTGTTGGATCAGTGGAAACAGTTAATATCTTTTTCAAACTGGGCGTTGTTGTGTTTTACGGCCAACAGAGAGGAGAAACGCAACCAATTTCTTACCAGTTTAAGGGCTCGTCACGGTTTGGAATCATTTAAAAGTGGTCGAAAAATAAACTTTTTCATGTAACTTGTAGCTCAGCTAGGGATGAAGATGGATACAATACAACTTTTCAAGAGCAGGCACTAAGAGCTAGATTCAAAATCGATTGCATAATTGTATTGTTACTACCGTAACTATGGAAAGTCTGAATAAATAATCGTAACACATCTATAATTGACCCTTAAGCATCTTCCAATATCATCCTGATACATGATACAAAGAACCCTATGCAGCTCACGACGTAGTTCAGTAATCTGTTAAAACAAATTTCGTTTTGTATCAGTGTGTTTTAAGGCTTCTTCGTTACAAGGGTGGATGCGCGTTTAGCTGTTTTTTTTAAAGCCAATCTCATCAATTTCCCACTATTTGACAATATGTGACCCTCTGCGGGATTTCAGGGAAAAAGGTGTATTGACGCACGCACACGGCACGTTATATCATAGAATATGGGCGAAAATGAAGAAGATCTTCTGTCCTATTTAAAAGTTCTAATAAACAAGGAAACATTCATGGCAAATCACGGCTCTTTCCCTCGGGATTTTCACAAGGAATTCAGTGAGCAAGGTAATTCTTACCTTGTAAAATAAAAATCCTTATCGCTTCTTGCAGTTAATAAACCCAGTACCGAGCCTTTGTGAATCCTTTAGCAACAGATTTCCGGCTCCATGTCTCCTGATCGACGCGGTTGCTGTTCGTCAATCTATGCAAATCGACATTTTCTTAATTAATAACCGCTAGTTAGCCGGGGCAAAACGAAGCTTTCCAAGCGAAGCCGCGTATTATTTACTGTGCGCAGATATTGGCATATATGGGTCGGTTAATT